TGCCTGTCCGTGCATTTTAATTCGGTTACCAAGCAAGCTTTAGCGCTGAAATCTTGTCATTGAGTTCAGCGGCCAAGTACCATTCCCGGTCCGCCGTACCAGCCTCATGCACGACCGAACCCCGCGTGCAAGCCTCTGGAATTTTATGGCTGGAAAATTGCTAATTTGGAAACCAGAAAAGTTGGAAAGCTGAAATTTTAAGGGGATATATCTCCTCCACGTAGAACTTAAACATTTTAAATTCAGACCCCAGACCCGTGAAAGTTTTTAATGAAAAAAGCACTAACTCGGAAACCAGAAAAGCTGGAAAGCTGAAATTTTAATGGAATGTTCTCTGTCCAAGTACCATATGATTGTACAATTAGCCTCCTGAACTTCGAAGACCAGTATTTCACAAATTCTATCTGCTGGGATTCTAAGTGATCTAACTACAGCACGAAATAGTGCAAAAACGCATGATCGCACGGGCTCGTCTGCTGCATCTCACCAATATTTTTTTTTTTTGTTACAGCAAGCCACAGAAAATCATTGAGAGCTACGACAGTTTTTTTTTATCAGTGATCAATGCTACTGATAGAATCCTCAGCATTAAAACTACAGCAGAAAAATGTGTAATATGATTATCAGCTATTTGCAGCGCAAAGATAAGAAATAGCACCATTCGGTGGATTGAGGCGAAAATATTCGTCCTGTTGTCTTGATAGTCATGAAATTCTTATCTGCATAAAGTGTAAGAAATTGCTCTGAGATACGCAAAAACATATTTATTTTGAAGAATCTCTGTATTTTGAATCAAATGAGGAACATCTGTGTATGCTACAAAATGTTACAGCTTTGCCTTGAACGATTCAACCCACTCGAGCATTTTGCTTGTACAGATACGATAGATCAAAAGGCAGGTGTTACTGGTTCTTTTTATCAGAAACAAAAAATATTTATTTATCAACGCGAACTAAAAACACTGGCGACTCTCACCAAGCGGGCTACTTCCTTTTTGTAGTGATTGTACG